GTCATAATAAAAAGTAATGCATTGTTATTGTGTCCCATTTTTGTGTTTTTCCATTGAAGTCTTTAACATGCACCTCTCAGTAAAACTGTTGCCAATACATTACTAGTATATTACCATCAAATAGTTTATTTCACACAGCAAAGGCAAAGAGAGCTTCATCTGTTCAAAAAACCTCAGTGCTTTATCTGAGGTTGAGGTCAATAAAACAAATGTTTTTAGTAATTAGTCAGCTAATACTAATATTTTATTACAGTGTAGTACAGTATAGGCTAGCATATACTTGGCCCCTTCATATCTTAAGTTGGTCATGCTGATCTTGTTGATAATGTAATAAATAAATATTGGTAAAATAAATAAATGAATAATTAGGCTACTCATTAAAATTATAAAAATTGAATGGCCTAAATGAAGTGAACATCTTTAAGAGTTGCAGTTAAGCTTGCAAATCCATAATGCTTACTGCTCAGAGTATAGTTTATTTACTGATACTGACATCAGTAGAAGCACACATAAATACACAATATATGCACATACTATAGGCCATGAGATTAAATGCTGGAATACAAAGAACAACTGGTCAACAGGAGCTGTAGTGCTGTTTGATTTCACTTACCACACATTATCATTAGGTCTGATACAACTTTAAAGGTGCACTATTTACCACTTGCTTGTTTTCATGGAGATGTGATAGATTTGTCTGGAATGTTCCGCAGTGTGCCTAAGGAACATAAAAACAAGCAAGAGACGCCACCAGGCCAAGTCTGCACTTGATCGCTTCAGTCCTGTGGTTTTGCATTGCTGTAATATGAACTGCTGGTAAAATAATAATAAAAAACATAAAAGCCGCGCGCGGCGATGGTGGCCCTCGCCCCGGGCACGCACCGCCCCCCCGGCGAACGCCAGGGACTCGCGACCGCCGGGGACTCGCGACCGCCCCGACACACCGCTCTCTCTTCCCGACAGCTCCCGAGGCCAACAGCTTGTCCACCAGAAAAATGACATAGTGTACCTTTAAAATAGGATAAAGTGAATGATTCTAGAGCCAAACTGTAGACACTAAGCCACAGGTCACGTGACTTTAATGGTCAAGAGCACTGTCACACTAAGACTAAGTGCATGAAAACACATCCTCCACCAGAAAAGTTACATAGTGTGCCTTTAAATTTCTCAAAAGTGAAATTATTCTAGAGGCCAAAGTGTAAAACTAGGGCATAGGTCTTACTGACTTTTATGATGAGGAGTACGTCAGTGAATGTTTTGGCAAAGTTTTACAAATTAATGTAAAACTAATTTTATGTCACACAATAATAAATTGTGTGCATTCATATAGGTGGCGCTGTATCCCTGATAACTGTATTTGACATATCAATGGAATAAGGGTCATGCAGTGTATAACTGATAGAAATGTCATCACAATCGGACAAAACATGTGCATATAATAATTTTTACAATATTTTTGGGGGGATTCTCTGTGCCCCTGCTGGCCAACCGTGAAAAATACACCATGACTGTAATAGACATTTTTGCTTATAATCATGCAAAGAATTTATTCCCCGACTTTGGTCCAAGTCCGATAATGTTAACATTTCATGTCTAAAGAGGCGTTGACACCAAAGCGTCAAAAAACGCCTTGACGCCTCTATTTGGACGCGTTTGCATTTGAGTGTAGACGCCCCCGACGCGCGTCTTTGACGCCGTGAACAAACGGGACAAAAATACTTGACGCGCGTCCGTTGCCCTGGAAACAAAAGCCCGGTCCCGGTCTTTTCCCAAAACAATATCAGACCAGACTGAGAGAGTGTTTTTATGACATAAAACATCAGCGGAGGAGATCGGGTCGACGACTGGGGCGTATATATATTTATACTCCGCTAATGACACTGAATCAGTCCCGGTCTAGTCCTGGTTTGGTCCCGGTCTAGTTCTTGTTTAGTCCCAGTCGAGTCCTGGTTTAGTCCTGGTCCGGTCCTGGTGTAGTCCTTGCGATCGGCTCGGTGATTGTGGCGTATATATTTATGCTCCGCTCATGTTGGTGGTTCTGGTTCTGGTTCTCGGGTCTTGCTTCCTGATAATAACGTCGCTGCGTCACTGGATACTCGTCCCTGATTGGTTGACGCGGCGCGTCTGACGTGAAAAGTTCAGCATTTTCAACTTCTTGACGCTGACGCTTTGGACGCGCGTCTTGGCCGCTGACGCCAAAACGCTCAAGAAGCGCCGCGTCGACGCCAGATTCGCGCCGCGCTGACGCCGAAAACGCGCTGCAAAAACGCAGGACGCTCTAGTCGCGCGTCCACATAGACTTTACATAGAAAGTGGACGCTTTGACGCTTTGGTCTGAACGGGCCTTAAGGTAGGGGGCGCTATACTGTTCACTTTTCATATGTTTTATAGTTTATTATATTCAGACCAATATCCCGCATTAGTGATTCAAATTTCAGCACAATCGAACTAAGCATGTCCCTGTAATCATTTTTTTACTATTTTTAGGGGGAGTCTTTGCGCCCCTGCTGGCCAACCATGAAAAATGCATCATGTCCATAATGGACTTTTTTGCTTGTAATCATGCATAGAATTTAATCCCCGAATTTGGTCCAAATCCGATAATGTTGACATTTCATGTGTATGGTAGAGGGCGCTATAGAGTTCTCTTTTCATATGTTTTATAGTGTATTATATTCAGGCCGTGATCATGCATTTCTTATTCAAATTTCAGCACGATCGGACTAAGCCTGTGGGTGTAATCATTTTTTTATTATTTTTTTGGGGAGTCTTTGCGCCCCTACTGGCCAACCATGAAAAATGCACCATGTCCGTAATAGACTTTTTTGCTTGTAATCATATACAGAATTTAATTCCCGAATTTGGTACAAATCCAATAATGCTTACGTTTCATGTCTATGGTAGGGGGCGCTATAGAGTTCATTTTTCATATGTTTTATAGTGTATTATATTCAGGCCGGGATCATGCATTAGTGATTCAAATTTCAGCACGATCGGACAAAACCTGTTTGTGTAATAAATTTTTAACTTTTTTTTGGGGGAGTCTTTGCACCCCTGGTGGCCAACTGTGAAAAATACCCCATGTCCGTAATGCACTTTTTTGCTTGTCATCAGGCATAGAATTTAATTTCCGAATTTGGTAAAAATCCGATAATGTTGACGTTTCACGTCTATGCTAGGGGGCGCTATAGAGTTCACTTTTATTAGATTTCATATTTCATTACATTCAGGCCTGGGTCACGCAATTGTGATTTGAATTTGAGTTCTCTATGACAATGCCTGTGGCCGTGACAGGCCTTCGAAAAAACAGGAAACGAAGGCGTTATTCGCCGGCGTGCTACGGGCGAACCGTACGGAGTATCTCAAAAAAAGTTGAAAATTTCTGTGAGTTCATGTCTCTAGATGTGACATGTCAAATCTGAGCTCATTTGGACCAAACCCCGGGGACTTGAATCTTTTTGTAGACCCCCAAGTCGAAACGGCGCCGAATTTTTGATCCAATATGGCCGACTTCCTGTTCGTCATACGGGTGCACAATGATTGGCTTTTTTGTTTGTCTCCATGAGTTCTATCACTGTTCCGAATTTCGTGACCCTACTCCAAAATATGCGTCTGAGCCTCCCAGTCATCTCAAAATTTTGAAATTTCAAGGGGGCGCTGTTGAGTGGGGGGGCTTTGGGCATTGTCGCGATGCCCGTTTTATCGAATTTTTTCGCCGGACCGGTCGATCTGGACCCCGGTTTGGGGACTTTTCGTCGATGTTCAGGGGGTCAAAAATGCGATCGTTTGGTCGGAAAAGGGAATAAAAAAAAAAAAAAAAAAAAAAAAAAAGAAACCGACGAAGAACAATACCCGGGGCGAGGGCCAATAAATGTAGTGATAATCTTTTGAGCATACCTTTTCCATGGTCTTGGCCTCTATGATCTCACTGATGCGTCCAGGCCACTGCATTCTGGCTGTGAGTGGAACTTGTACCACGTTCCACATTTGGGTTTTCCAGACGATAGGAGCGCTCACTGGGGCTGATGGGAAGTACCCACTGCTCGCTGTTATCTTCGGAATACTGCAGAATGTAGCCTGGATCGGACACACACACGATAAGTATACACACACAAAAGTACAATGAAGACAAAATTTACTGCAGACCTCTGATGGAGCTGCCCCCGTTGTCTCCAGGGATCCAGGATAGGGTTATGGATGTGGTGGTTGTCTTGGTAACGGTGAGTCGAGGCTGGTCCGGAGGAACTATTATGGAAAGGACAAATCAGTGCCATCTTTGTTATGTAGGTATGTACTAATAAAGTTTTTTTCAGTTCCAACACTGATTTCAGTACTATGGCTAATATCTGTCAATGCCCCATAGAGACTAAAATAGCTTTTATTTTCTTAAAACAAAAATATCAGAAGATCCAAATGCATGTGTAACTTTATTAATCCCTCAAATGAGAACAGAACAGTGTTGTCTAAATAATAGTTTAAATTACAACCGGTAAATTGTCCTTTTTACATAAAATGAAATGCCCATCAAGGAAATAGGCTAAAACCAATATTTAGAAACAGATATCCAATCCTGTACTTTTTTTTTTTTTTTCATCACACTATCAGTATGTCAGTATCAGATCAGGGCATCCCTAATGTATACAAGTCTATGGTTGACCAAAGTCATTCTTGTGCAATGATTAAAGGACTAAAATGGGGTATGATGCTGGTAGAAGCGCTCAAAACGTTTAGGATATCTTCAAAAAAAATAATTACATATACAGAGAAGTCCTAGTACAAATGTTGATAATTGAAAAGCAGCTTAAAACAAGTCTGCAGACACTTTTTAATGTGGCCCTTTTACTGTTATGTGTAGATTTTTGCTATATCTGTCATATTTACACTGTAATACAGAAGTCAATTATATGCACTGTCCCTATCAAATAAATAAATAAATAATCCCCAAACTCTAGTAACTTCCTCCATGTATTCTCCTTCCTACTGTTGTGCACAGAAANTACCTTCAGAGCCAACAGACTCTTGTTGATCTCAGCTCCTTCGAGACGAGTCTGGCGGTCTGCACTGGATGTGTCAGCTCCCCTCTCGTTTCCAGCCAGATCGATAAGAGAAAACTTTCCGTGCATCTTTCCTCGTCTGCGCAAAATGATCTGGAAAACGGCATGGCTCCTGGAGGAATGGGCGTTTGCTGATGTCTTCCCAGAAGTCCTTGGGAAAATCATATGAATTATTTCCCACAGCCAATAAAGGAATCATATACTACAGCTGAGCCAAAGGATACCTGCAGCTGTTTCCGACTTCGATTAGTTTAAGGACATCTTCTGTGCATTTGACCTCTCTCTCCTGTAGGCCCACCACCTGGACTTGCTGCTTCCTATCTTCCAATACCCGCAGCTTGGCCTTATGATTCAGCAAGTCAAACACCTTAAAGACAAAAGCAGCAGCTGTTTATTAAAACAACATATAAATATGGGTATGTATGAAGTATGCATACCAACCTTGCCACTGTAGATTTCAAAAAAAGTGGCAAAGACCTGGAGATCTAACTTTTTGTAGTTTGGCTTTTTCAACATGAGAAAGACATCTCTGGCTGAAAAAAATATACGTACATAATATAATGCATACATATATATGTACCGGTATATATAAAAATATACACACATGCATACATAAGCTAAAACAAAATTAAATGATTAAATAACTTACCTGACAGAGCGTAGATTCCTTTAGAGCAGTCCTGGTTCTTCCCTGAAAAGTCTCCTCCCATGGTCTGAAACATAGTCATTCCTAAGTAATGTCATTTCACAACATATCGGAATCAGAAACATTACTTACATGTGTTTTTCCACTTCCAGTTTGTCCGTAAGCAAAGCAAGTTGCCATTCCTCTTTCAAAAATGGTCTCAACCAAAGGCTGGGCTGTAAATCTGGCAACACAGTTGATGTTGTCTGAAGTCATGATTTTTTTAAATGCTCAAAGGGACAATAAAACCCATACCTGTAAACCATTTCATTTGTGGAGTTCTCATCAAAAGCGTAGTCAAAGCGAAATGTTTGATTCTCCAAGTAGCGTGTCAGGTCAACTTTTTGCTTCGGTTCATGAACCATAACAACATCTTTACTTGGGATAGTGATGACATCTAAGTCCTTCATTGATAGCTCTAAAAGGGACAGTTTACAGAAAACTGATACATTCACTATATAAATCAAAAAAGCCAATAATAGAGAACCTACCTTTTTTATTCAATGGTCGAGCGCGCACACACACACATATTCTGTGCTCCTCTATCTGCAGGATACAATTTTTGTTGTAAACTTCAATAGTTAATAATAGAATATAATACTACAATAGTAAATAAACATGAACATTTAAATACTGTACAGTCCCTGACAAAAGTCTTGTCGCTTATCCATTTTGTAGAAACAAAAGCTTATAACTTGACTTTAAATTAATCGATTGGTTTTAGAAATGTCTCATATGAAAGCTAAAACCCTCCCAAATTATGCTCAATAAACTAAAATAAATTTGCTTCACTGAAAAAAGATTGATCATTTAATGAACACAGAAAGGTCAGATTTTGGCAAGACAAAAGTTTTGTCGCCTACAGAAAATTGAACAAATAATTTACTTCAAATACAAAAATATGTTGCATAACGTCAGTGAATGAAGTAGTGGTGCTGTGAGATCCATATTTAATATCTTGTATGACTTCCATGAGCTTCAAGGACTACATCCATGCGGTTCCACAATGATTCATACAATTTGTTGATGAAGTCCATCAGGAATAGCAAAGAAAGCGTCTTACATGCCTCCCAGAGTTCATCAAGATTCTTTGGTTTTGCCTTCCATGCTTCCTCTTTCATTCTACCCCAGACATGCTCAATGATGTTCATGTCTGGTGACTGGGCTGGCCAGTCCTGGAGCACCTTGATCTTCTTCGCCTTGAGAAACTTTGATGTTGAGATAGAATTATGCGATGGAGCACCATCCTGCTGCAAAATTTGACCCCTTTTATGGTTGGGAATGTAAGAGGAGCTAATACTTCTTGATATTTTAGGCTATTGATATTGCCTTCCACCCTGCAAATGTCTCGCACACTCCCATAATGGATGTAACCCCAGGCCATGATTTTTCCGCCACCAAACTTAACTGTTTTCTGGGTGAATCTTGGATCCATGCGGGCTCCAGTAGGTCTCCTGCAATATTTGTGGCAGCTGTGATGTAATTCAACTGAGGATTCATCTGAGAAATCCACCTTCTGCCACTTTTCCAGTGTCCATCCTTTTAGCAGGCTGTGGGCCTTGGCAAATGCCACACAGTTTTTTAATTGCCTTTTGTTTAGTGCTGGTTTCTGTGCACTGATTCGACCATGGAGGCCATTTTGACACAGAATTCTACAAACTGTTCAGGTTGACACAGGGACTTGAGGTGACCAGGCCTGGTGGAGTCTGCTGCAGTGGAAAAGGGGCTGGCAGTGGATTTTCGAATCAACAAACGGTCCTCCCGAGCAGTTGTCTTGCGGGGTCTGCCGGACCTGGGCTTGTCAAAAACATCTCCAGTCATTTCAGATCTTTTTCTTATTCTTTGTACTTGACGCTGAGACACATTGAAGGTGTCACCACCTCAGCAGTGGATCTGGTCTTCAGCCTCTTGATAATTAATGCTTTGGTCTCAGGGTGGATCTTAGGCATGTTGTCAGAGGTCAAGTTGCAGTTGATGTGAAGGTCTGGTGTGCTGGGGTTCTTTTTATACACACCCACTAACTGATTGATCAGTAACTGATCACAGGTGAGGCTGTAATCTAGGATTGGGTGCATCATATGACAAGGCGACAAGACTTTTGTCTTGCCAAAATCTGACCTTTCTGTGTTCATTAAATTATCAATCTTTTTTCAGTGAAGCAAATTTTTTTTAATATATTGAGCATAATTTGGGAGGGTTTTAGCTTCATATGAGACATTTCTAAAACCAATCGATTAATTTAAAGTCAAGTTATAAGCTTTTGTTTCTACAAAATGGATAAGCGACAAGACTTTTGTCAGGGACTGTATGTTAATATGACTTACTAGATCATTGGAGGTTAGGGGCCTGTAGTCCAGACTGGCTCTGAAGTCTCTGATCATGCACATAATTTCATAGTTGGGTAAATTGACATCTACTTCCTGGAAAATAAAGTGTTAAATAATTTGAACCACACAACAAAGGAAAGTTGACATTCCTCAAACTCATACTTGGGCCCTCTTTTCTCTGAGTTCCTGTTGCTGAAGTCGTCTCTTCTCACGCTTTTCTTGAAGTTTTTCAACCTCTTTTACACAATTTGATTTCCTCTGAGCTGTAGAGGATAAGCCAGCAAATGAGACAAGCATCATGAAAACAATATGAAACATGAGAGCAGATTCTTTCTAATGCAACTTTATATACAATTAAGGCTATAAGTGTAGTCTAGACAATATACATAATATACATAATTGTTTTTATGAGGTTCATTTGGTCTTCCAATAATTTATGTTATTAGGTTCTTTTTTCAGACCAAGAGTTTGTTTTCAGACCTGACAGTTTCAACTGCTCACTAGCGGTCTTCCTCAGAGTGGTCAAGTGATGTTGCTTTGACGTGTCCGGACAGCTGATTTATACAGGTTTTGGCGCTGTCTTCCTACCTTCCTTTGCTGTTTCCTTTTCGCATTCTGTCCTGTGTTCCTTTTTTCGTGTATTGAACGCCCTCCCTGTTTCCCCAATGTATGTTTTATTGCAGGACATGCAGGGTATTTCGTATATGACATTACATTTATACTCCGGTTCTATTTTATCTTTTGGGTAGACGAGCAATTGCCTGAGTTTTTTGTATGGTTTCACTGGTGTGTTGATATTGTGTTTTCCCATTGCCCTTTGCACTTTTTCTGTTAAGCTCCTTATGTACAGTAATGTTACCATATCTGTCCTCTTTTTTTCAATAGACAGTACTGGAAACTACTCTGAGGAAGACCACTGCTGAGCAGCCAAAACTGTCAAGTTTGGTCTGAAAAAAGAACCTAATAACATAAAATATCACTGAAAAGTAAAACAAAAATCCAGCCATAAATACCATAGTTAGCATAGCAAAACCTACCTCTGTTCTCCCGAGGCATGTTTTCAGCTTTAGGTATTGCTGTAACTCGTCTTGTCTGAAAAAAATAGTTAAAAAATTATTACACCCACAGGCTTAGTCCGATCGTGCTGAAATTTGAATCACTAATGCCTGATCATGGCCTGAATATAATACACTATAAAACATATGAAAAATGAACTCTATAGCGCCCCCTAGCATAGACATGAAACGTCAACATTATCGGATTTGGACCAAATTCGGAAATTAAATTCTATGCATGATGACAAGCAAAAAAAGTCTATTACGGACATGAGGCATTTTCCACCACTGGCCAGCAGGGGCGCAAAGACTCCCCCAAAAAATAGTTAAAAAATGATTCCACCCACAGGCTTAGTCCGATTGTGCTGAAATTTGAATCACTAATGCGTCATTGTCGACCTGGGCGAATGTCGGGAAGAGAGGGTGGCGTGCCGGGGCGGTCGCGAGTCCCCGGAGGTCGCGTGGGGGGGGGGCGGTGCGCGCCGGGGCGAGGGCCACCATCGCCGCTCATTGTGCTCATCTTTTTTGGCAATTTGCTTTCGAAGACCACAGTTCTTTAGTTTAAGGTCATGGTTTAAGGTCAAGGGTATATTTCTTCTGTTATTTCTGGCCATTTTTGTTTTATAATTGAGTTGTTTTGTAAGTGTTGCTGTACTTACTGTTACGCAGATCAAAAGTGCGACCTACTCTGTGAAATCTCCTCTGTAAAGTCTCCTCTGTGAAGTCTACTGTTTGAAATCTTTGTACGATTTGCTCTGTGTCAAGCTCAGCTAAATGTGCCTTTTCCGTTAAGCGATTTGTGATTTTCGATTTGTGATTTGCGATTTGCCTACTCTTATAATCTCCCCGAGGCCAAACAAAGCTTTGAGTTAAAGCCCACAAAGCTTTGAAGTTTAGCTTTGAGTTCCGGAGTTGCCATGGTAACAAGGCTTTATGGAACTTTACATGTATGATGTCATCGGCGCCGTGAACCTGATGGAACTGGGAGGTTTTCAGGTTCTAGAATGTGATGATGTCATACTCCCAGACGGGGCAAGAGCCACGTTTCCCTGTTGACTGAGGCCGAGTGTTGTTAAGAAGTCACTGATATGAGACAAACCTCGATACAGTGCGCTTTCGATTCGATACGGTTCAGTAAAAAATAAAGGCTAAATCATGGAAAATCTTTGTTAAACCACTTCTTGTGCAAAGTTCATATGAAACACAAACATTTTAATCCTCAAAACAGCGAAAATGTCAAACGAGTTTCCTTCCACTAAAACAACGAAACTGTAGCTGTAACAAAATCATTTAGTAAAATAAACCAAAAATACTCTTGGTGATATATCGATAGAGCAGCCCACAATATCGATACTGTGTCATCACATTAAACGATACGATATATATCGATATTTCAATATTTTTGCACACCCCTCTACTCTTTATCACACTGTACTTTGCCACGAAATATCCAAAAGGTAAACGCACAAATGTTAAACCTGGTATTGAAATGATTAAAAAACTCACTGTTAGAACACAATGGCCACGTTCACATGATGTTTTTTAATTGTTCTGGATTAAATTGTTTGGACTTAAAATATTTTCCTTGGAGTTTACATGGAAATAATAATTCTGAATATCTGGGTTTCACGTGACATTACAGGGCGACGTTTGTCAGCACGCAAAATCAGATGGAGGGCAAGAAGTGAACCGACTGGAGGGAAATGCCGATGTGTTGTGCAGTTTACGGCTGTGCCAATTGTTCTAACCGAGAGAAGGAAAAGCGATTTTTTTTTAGAGTACCGAAGATAGTCGTCCACAAAGGTCAGAAATGGGAAAAGCTGACAGAACAACGCCATAAAAAGTGGATTACAAACTAGAGCCCGACCGATATGGATTTTGCTGTGGCCGATATGAAACCGATATAATGGGAGTTGGCGCTGCCGATATAATCACCGATATATTTAGTGATGTAAAAATTCACTGTAAATGTTAAATTAAATTCTACGCATGATTACAAGCAAAAAAGTCAATCATTCTGCACCCCTATGACGAACAGGAAGTCGGCCATATTGGATCAAACATTCGCCGCCGTTTTGACTTGGGGGTCTACAAAAAGATTCAAGTCCCCGGGGTTTGGTCCAAATTAGCTCAAATTTGACATGTCACATCTACAGACATGAACTCACAGAAGTTGCCAATTTTTTTTGGGATACTCCTTACAGTTCGCCCGTAGCACGCCGGCGAATAACGCCTTCATTTCCTGCTTTTTCTGTGACCTGTCACGGCCACAGGCATTGTCCTAGAGAACTCAAATTCAAATCACAATTGCGTGATCCAGGCCTGAATGTGATGAAATATGAAATTTAATAAAAGTGAACTCTATAGCGCCCCCTAGCATAGACGTGAAACATCAACATTATCGGATTTGGACCAAATTCGAGAATTAAATTCTATGCATGTTTACAAGCAAAAAAGTCATTTTTTACGGTTGGTCAGCAGGGGCACAAAGACTACCCCCCAAAAAATAGTTAAAAAATAATTACACACACAGGCTTAGTCCGATCGTGCTGAAATTTGAATCACTCATGCCTGATTTCGACCTGATTATAATACACTATAAAACATATGAAATGTGAACACTATAGCGCCCCCTAGCATTGACATGAAACGTCAACATTGTCGGATTTGTACCAAAGTCGGGGATTAAATTCTATGCATGATTGTAAACAAAAACAGTATATTACGGATATTGGGCATTTTTCATGGTTGGCCAGTAGGGGCGCAATGACTCCTCTGAAACATTTAAAGGTGCATTATTTAATGTGTCTAATGGACGAGCTGTCGACCTGGGCGGATGTAGGGAAGAGAGGGTGGCGTGCCGGGGCGGTCGCGAGTCCCCGGAGGTCGCGTGGGGGGGGCGGTGCGCGCCCGGGGCGAGGGCCACCATCGCCGCGCGCGGCTTTAATTTAAATTAGTATTTGAACAATGTATAACCTGGCACCAGCATCTTTCCTATGACTTTTGTCTTAGTTAATGTATTTCTGTGTACTGTCCCTGTACAAATAAAAAGCATATCATCCCAAGGTACACTAAGTAACTTTTCTGGAAGGGCTGCTACCTGTTGCCTCCATGGAAACATGTTTGCTTTTCTTGGAATGTTCCACAATATTGCTTTAATCTTTTGTTTGCAGACAAGCAGTAATGCCTCCAGGCTCAGTTACAGGTCAGATCTGTGGAGAGTGGCAACCATAATAAGAATGCTTGTTTATCAGTGTATTTTTAGCAAAAGACCTGTAACTGGTTAAATGTGGGATAGATAAGTTTAATGCCATATTGTGAAACATTTGTGGCAAAGCAATGACAACTCAGTGATAAGCAGGAGGTCAGTGTTGGAAAAAATATTTGAAAGTGTATTTGGTTACAGAATACTAAACGTATTTTGTAATGTATTCTGTTACATAGTCCTATCAGAGTACTGCATTCTGAATACTAAAGCCCAAATTACATGTACATGTGAAATATTCCTTTGATTTAAATAGATAAATAAATCCCACTAAATGAAAAAGTAACTGTACTAGAATACAGTTACTCTAAATTTGTGTTCTGAGTTTCTAATTTTCGGTACATGTATTCACTTCCCAACACTGCAGGTGGCATAAATAGTATTTATGTATTGGCTCATTTTGTGCCAAAAGTGCTGCTTTTTTTTTACCTTTACTCAGCTGTCAGTTATAAGTTTAGTCATAATATATAGTCATACATTGTCCTGAGCATATTTCTTTATCCTTGTTCTAACCTTACATGTTTCTGTGTATGCTTTTGTCCTGCAGAACCCCAGTACTCTAAAGAACAGGAATTATTCACCAGCATCAACGCCACTCGGGTCAAACTCAACCTAAACGGATGGAACAATGGCGGCTGTCCTATCACTTCCTTCACCCTGGAGTACCGCCCTGTGGACTCGCCCACCTGGACCACGGCCCAGCGCACCTCCCTCACCAAGAGCTATATCCTTTACGACCTGCAGGAGGCGACGTGGTACGAGCTGCAGATGAAAGTGTACAACAGCGCTGGATATGCAGAGAAGAGAGTCAAGTTCGCCACGCTCAGCTACGATGGCAGTAAGTTCAAAACCGGACTTTAGTTACACTTTATAATAACTATGCCTTAATTTGCCTTAAAGGGACCATATTACACTACTTTCTGATCTATTTTATAATGTTGTTTCCTCATCAAAAACATGTTTTGTTTCATTCACACATGTTTAACACACAAACCCTGCATATTTGGGCTGAATTCTTCTCTCAAACACAAAATACTCCACTTGCGATGTCATGTGGTAATACAGGAAGTGCTCCGCTGTGTATTTAAACTTGTTATACCATCACAAGAATCAAGTGGATGATTTCAATCCTGGAATTGCCAATCTCTACTGAACTAACCTGAAAACTACTACTACATGATACCACAGGGTGACACAGAGCATTATGAGCTTTGGAGATGTAGACAGATGTGTGAATGAAACAAAACAGGACTCCAGGTTTGTTTTGAGGAGGTAACAGCATTATAATATGACTTAAAGCTCACAAGAGTCAATTATAGGACTTTTAATAAATCATGAAGCATTAAAACCCTACTTTGGAACATTCTCCGCAGTGATAGATACGTTTTATGCTATACTGTTGAAGCTAATAGCCAAAGGAACAACATTTCTATGGAAACAATCTTTCTGTAGATCAAATAAGAGTCAGGTTTGTGAAGATGTGAGCCAGCCAAACATGCTTTTCTTCTAGTGCATTATTATTAAAAAAAATATTAAGTTGTGCATTAGTTTTGTAGTTATTATAAAAAACTTATCCAGACTTCTACTTCCTCTATCCAGGAAAGAAAACATGTGTCAGAGTTAGTCCAGGCCAGTGTGCCTATGATTCACCCCCTTAGCTGTGACTGTCAGAAAGTTAACTAGGAGTTTCTGCACAGATTTTACTCAGTGTTACATCTAGAATAGTCTACAGCAGTGGCTCTCAAACTTTTCACTCAGGTACCCCCTACAAAAAAAATTTGAAATTTCAAGTACCACTAGAGCTAAACCTGGTATATAATAGATAGGACAAGGTCTAAACCCTAGGGCTAAACCAGGTTAGAATTTTTTTTTTTTTTTTTTTACAAGTAGATGGAAAATGAGAAACCTGTCCCCTTTCCCCCCTACCTAGTTTTTGTTCAGGCTTTCTGGTTTCTGGTCTTTTAACAGGTTATGATTGGCCAAACTGACTACACATTTGGACTTTATATGTATTTAAATATAACATATTGCAAGAAATTGTATCTTTTAGTTCATTTTTACAAAGTAAATAAATCAAACTTCATTTCTGTTTTTAGGTACTATTGCCCCTCTGGTCAAAGCCCCAAATGTCAGTGAGGACCACTCTGGAGGCGGAGAGGGGATGAAGATGATGGTGACTATCTCCTGTGTGCTGGTGGGCATCGTGGTGATCTTCATCGGACTGTTAGTGCTGAGGAGGAGGAGGAGGGAGCAAAGATTGAAGAGGCTCAGGGGTGAGGTCCTTAGTACAGTGTGAAACTGCTCTATAATGTGAATACAACTGTACTAACGATCAGTTTGTGTTTTAGATGCAAAGAGCTTGGCCGAGATGCTGATGAGGTACAGGTCTTCAGTGCTTTTATTGTGTTGTGATTGTATGAATTTTGCTTAATATCTGTGTTTGTATTTCCTTTAGTAAAAACACACGTCCAGCAGAGCCAGTGAACAAGCAGCAGCAGACCCTCCGAATGCACATCGACATCCCCAGGGCCCA